CAGCTGCTGAGGAGAAAGTGATCTTATCTCATACACACACTTTCTCAGCTCAGACCTTATAACTTTGATAAAATATGCAGGCTCAGATCAGGGATTTTGTAAAAGTGACGCAGTTCTGGCCTTTAATTTCCTCTCTAGTTAAATCATTTACATGTTATACATATGTAGTTACATAATTAAGGTGAGGGACCTCTTTTTTAAAACAAATGTATAGATTAATGTACATACATACTAAGAAATAATGATTATAATACTACATAATAAAGAATTTGGTAACGAAAAATGTGGCTTTTTTACATTATTTGAACATTAACTATATCTTTATTAAGCTATATGTCTGCAAACTGTTCTATCAGTCTTAGCTTTGAAAAACCCAATCAAATATATTTACAATACTCAAAATACATTGCTACAGGTGACGGTGAAAATAATCCCGCTAATTTTAAAAAGGAATGGAAAAATGGGGAAGATGACTGGTAATAGTCAATGTTCAAAAGTTGATACGAAATTAAAGAATAAACCCCTGACAAATCCTTCGAAACCTCTCCATCCTTCCTTTGTTTTGGCCCTCTCTATTTGCTGTTCTATTCTGTCCTTTCTTCTTCTAAAACAGTACACTGGTACATACCACTTGATATCCTGGTTTCAGCATGTAAAAATAGCCAAACTTTGTCTGGTTGTTTTTGTTTACTTTTGTTTTCTTTTGGTAGGTTCATCATCTTCAATGCATATAATATTAATCAATGTGTCTTGTTTCAAACTTATATATAGTTTGGAGGTATATAAAAATAATTATATTTCTGAATTGGTATCTCATTTGATCTAATATTTATGAGAATGTTCAAAAATGTCAAAGCGAACAAAAAACATTGTGTGAAAATTGAGAATGTGTGATTGAAATATAATGTGTTATGTATAATGTACTATTAACAAAATCTTAAAAAAAGCTAACAAAAATCAGATTTTTTTTCTACATGCAATGATAATTATGGAACACAAAAGAAAGTATGTCACAAAGAGGGAAGGGAAAGAAATCAAAGCTCGTAAGGGCAGACTACGTACGGCAAAAGAAATTTGCCCACATTTTATTTTGCAATCAGTTTTAGATCTGCACCAAATTTCATTAAGTATCAATCTTTCTCTGCAAATTTCCCTATATGAAAATGGTTACATTTTGGTGTAAGTTTGGCTGCATGTGCAGTATTGTCTTGCCATCGTGTGTTTCGCTTTACTTTAACTATCAATCTTTCTTTGTACAGATTTTATTCCAATGACCATGCGTAGATGCCCTACCATAGCAACAAAAATGCCTTGCTATACAAATAATAGCCAAAATATGGTGGTTTGGGACAGTAAGCATGCAGAAATGAAAGCCTCCGACTGTGACAAACAAAAGTTCCTTTCTACAATTGAACAATGGTATGACATTGCTAGATATGTGTTAGGGTTAACCCTGGCTTTACTGTATTGTCCAGCTGTGAGAGGCAATCTGGTGTTAATTGTAATTTTACACAGACCCTGACAAAACATAAGTTTGATTGTCTCTAGAAAAGTCTACTTTTATCTTTATAGATCTTCATAGAAACATTGTGTACTGGTTTAGTAGTTCGGCGGTGCTTAGTTTTTAAACACTATTTAATCAAAATGTTATTAGCAGAAAGTGGCATGGGCTAGTCTGGAATCATATGAGGGTTGTAGGAGGCACCTATATAATTACCTTATTGGTAGTGGGTTTAAAACCAGATCTGGCTATCATTTTTATATTGAAACGCTGAATGTTTGATGGGTGGTAGGTCTCCCAACCTTACCACACACTTATTTCTGCTAATGATATCGTTGTACTAGATCTTTCTAGCATACTCAATGATCCTAAAACCGTACACGCTTCTCAGTGAGTACCCATATGTTGTAGATACATTTATGGATTTTAAATCTCATAAATTAATCTAGAAATCACAAAACCTTCTTTGTGAGTTTTGGCGAAGTATAACTTGTATGTAATTGTGGGTGCAAATTAATTTTATGTGAATCATGGAAGTGCTTTATTTTTGCAAAATGCAGATTTGTTGAAAGCCTTTTGGTGTTTTGTAAATATACACCTGTCCCCAGTTCATATATAATAATGTGGAACCTCATGGATTTCGAAGATGATATGTTGCTCAAACCATGATTCATCAAAAGTCTACAAAATTTCAAATTTCACCATTTGCGTTCTCAATTAATCTAAAGATGAATATATTACCTGAGATATTTTCTAAAATTAGACCTGTATATAACATAATTCACACCTTCTTTTCAAAATGATCCGCTCTGATGTTCGAAAGTACGAATTTCCTCGTTGTGAGTAAAAATATTTTTATAAAATTTGAATTGAAATCATTTTTATACGAAACCAAGGCTAGTGAATCGATCAGCAGTAAATACATATTTACATTCTTGATGTTTGTTTTGTACATTAATCTACCAACTAAAAACAACTGCCATTAGACTATGAATACACTAAGAATACAACGTTTCTCGTGCAACATGCAGTCAGCTGATTTCACAAACAATGACCAGTTCATATTACTACGTATAGTACCGTTTCTTAGAAGAGCTATCTCTCCTTCTCCAAGATAACGTAGTTGCGAGAAATAATAATAAACATTACAAAAATCATAAATAGTGCACAATTGTACTTTTATTATTATTTTTTCTAACTTAAAATTATAAAAAGAAAATACTTATAACATTGTCATATTAAATACTGACTTCCGACTCGCAATCGGTTCCTCGTGGTCACGATTTTTCTAACACCAAAACATCCGGCTGGGTAATCCCCGTCACATCAACTTGCACATTAAACTCAAAGAACCTTGTAATGACACAGGGCACTTCATCCACCAACTTATCATCATAAACATCTGCAGGTTTCTTTTGGTAAACAGCACGTTCAACGGCTGTACATTCAACTTCAAATGATCTATATGCCTACTGCCGTCGGGTGCTCGACTGACGAGTGCCATGGATGGTTACTATGGTGACCGATGATTTGAAATAGTGCGGACATAAACTTTTTTAAATATGTAAAATGCGGTGTTTTATGCAAAAACAAAAACAAACAAAAAACATGAAATAAGATCAACTTTCAAAAATGAAAGGAATATAAAGTGTTGATTATTATTAGATTCTAGATATATATTTTCGTTTCAACAAAATCAGCTGATCGGAAGAAGTCGAACATTTGAAGTTTGTGTGTAGGCTAGAGTTCTGGCTGGTCCTATTTATGGTTTTCTGTCCGATACTTATATTAAAAATATGTCAAATTTACAAAAAGTGTGGTAACGTTTTTTCATTGTAGTTTATCGTAACGTAAAATATAAATTGAATGGATGTTTGTTCATGTACATTGCGGCAATGAATAGCAGTAGCTGATCTACATATCTTCTGAGGAGCCCTTACACCATGAAGTCATTCTTCGAATTCGCCACAGTAGTGTTACCGGTCCATCAACACAATAAGGTCATGCAGGGCCACATGACCGTATCGACGGTGAATCAGTATAGCAATACAAGCATACACAGTAAAGCGATTTGCAGAGAATACATAATAAGCTTTTAATAAAAGATTGTGATTACTCGGATGCAGTTCAAACAGATACAGATAACACGTTGTCTGTGACTGACAAGATATTGTCATCAAGATATAATCGCAGTAAATGTATTCCAGGATATGCCAAGACTGTCCATGAACATTTACTTGCACACTTTTTATCTGTATTTGGGTATTCAATGGTATGTTCTGTCGGTTAAAATCATGTCGTCTATAATGACTGCAGCGTGCACTAATTTAATTTTCGGTCTACAGTCTATCAAAACATCGTTTTTGGTCTTGGTGTTAACGTTCGCCCGAGCGAGGAAGGTTATTGGTTCTGTTTCCTGACCGACACAAAGTCTTTAAAACTGGAATTTGCTGCTCAACTTTAAAAAGGAGATGTGGTCAGCCAGATGTCCGTGTAATGCGACTGTGTGTGTTTTCCCGCGTTACCGTGTCCTAATACAGGTTTACCAGGAAGGCCAGTGAACCAGGCGGTTCCCATTGTTATGTCACCCAATGGGCATTATACCTACATTGTGAACTTTCCATTAAGACTAATTAATCTAAATCAGGAGTAATCGATTACCATGATAGAATTCAACCTACATTAATAGGACTCTTGCATTGGTAACCATCAATATTATTAAACCTCAATTAATTGATAATCTCTTTACAATAAAAACTCGTGTTTCGCATTAGCGCTCAAGTTCACCCGGTCATGCAGACGACAGTGGCTTAATTGTTTTGTTATTGCGATATGAAATATTTATGTCTTTACGGAAACACAATTCTGTGTTCTGCTCGATTAATCATGTTTTACGGGAGTCATTAAGTATTATCCCGAGAAACAAATAACAATGTTTCCTAATTAACGGCACTGGTGCATGGATAGCAACACATTCACGCTTCATCTGTCCATCGTGGTAAAAATCATTAAAGTTCGTGAGTCGCCGTGATCCACACCAATAGGCTTGTGTGGAAACCGTACCTGTTGTTTGGATCATACCATTACTATACAGACATAGTGGCACTAGGATGACATTTTCTGCTGAATCTCAATAGTTGAATTTTGAGTCAGTGTTAGATTTTACCTAAACGTGAATTCTGAAGATCATTCGCGACGATAATATGTTGGTCGGTCTACTTCGTCCTCTGGTTGAGGCTACAACCCCTTACAGCACCATAGGAGGAACACGATTTGGTATACAATGTCGGCCTCGTCAGGATTTCATATGTTGGTCGAGAGAATCCAAGACAGACGAACCAGAATGATATCCTTTAACAGGAACCTCTTCCCCGACTGTTTTAGAAGACGTTATACTTTAGCACCAGATCGATGCATTTGTATCTGGGAATGTTGAACAAAACGTCATCCCTATTTGCACCACTTACATTAGTTTTTTATTTTAATACGGGTTGGTGTGTTATGCATCCTGAATATGTAAAGCATTTTCCTGGGTGATAGTGCTTAACGCAGGTGTGGTACCCTTTGTATTGTCTTCCTTGTATTTCTGGTTAGTAGATGTCGGTGATACGCTCCTTTGCTTTGCAATAAGCAAGCACAAAAATTCTATCAGTTCTACAATAGACAGAATGCTAGCTCCCAGAAACATTCCCATCTGCCCGCCAACATTTCCTACAAAAGTAAGGTAATTATTTGATAAATATTAGAACGTTAGAACAGATAAGATATGGGAACGTCGAATGATAACAATTCTTCTAACATGTGGTATTGATACGTCCCTCTGTTAACATTATGTCTAGATTCCTTTGAAACATTGAATCACCAGAAATACAAATAAATGAATCACTTACTTGAAAAGCAGTTCGTAGACGCAGAAAGAGAACATGTTCGTGTATTAGATACATTGTTCCCATAACTATTCAGTTATTGTTCTTTCTGAATTCAAGCGTTACAAAACTGTGCGAATTAACAGTTACTGAGATTCCATAAAACTTCTGTAAATCTGATATAAAGGTTTACCAACACAATGTATCGTTTGTAGTCGTGTTTGTCCTACCAGGCGTATTGATACGTGACCATTTACGGAGTATTGCCTTTGTGTAACTCGAAACATTTAGTCCGCCATTGTCCACACAATTTCTTAAAAACAATATAGGATGTGCCACTAGCTATTACCCAATTGAACAGAAAAAACCCAATGACAGACGTGTTAGCGGTATTTTGTGTCAGTGTGGTTCTATCAGGTTTGTATTATGATGATGCCCTACAATTGGTATTAATTCCCACTGCTTCATAGTTATACTTTACCGACAATGTCGTTGAGCATCTTGGCAGGCACCTCTTCCACGACTGTCTCAGACAGCGAGTTATAAAACAACGTCAGGTCTATGAAGTTGGAGCTAGGAATATACAACAAATTGTAATTAGACAGCAACAAACTCTGCTGTTGGTCAGCATCCATTTTTTTTTTTTTTTTTTTTTTTAAATTACGGTCAATCTTATCAAAATACTGTTCATATTTCATTAGATTGAAGACAATTTAATCGTTGACATATTAGTATTGTAAAGGAAAAAGGCATGTCATGGAAATCAAGGTTCAAAGTTGTTCGAATTGTTGGGTTTCCATTTCCCTAGCTTTTCAAAACTTTTCCTGGTGTAAAGCGACCGGAAAAATAAGACATAAAAAGAGACTAGATTGGTAGAAATAGGAGAGGCCCATGAACCTTAACGGTCACCTGAGTCCTACAGTATTTTTTTTTTGTTGTTGTTGTTGAAAATATGTACCAATTTGAGTAAAAAATAGTTAAGTATAACGTTAACTTAAGTTTGTCAGGACCATGCGCTGATCATTCCTAGACCGAGTTTAAGTTAAATCGGCCTATTAGAACTTGTTTTTAGTTTGCAATAGTTATTTTCAAAATAGAGGCCGTGGCAGCCAAGTTGCATTTCTGATCGACCCGAAAAATAACAACACTTTGTCAGGACCATGAGTCGATCATTCCTACCAAGTTTCAGTTCAATCGGCCCAGCAGAACTTGACTTTAAGTTTGAAATAGTTTTTCAAAATGACGGTCGTTGCGGCCATATTGGATTTTGAATCGACCCGAAAAATAACAACACTTGGTCAGGGAGATGTCAGTAACCTTCCCATGAAATATCAATTAAATCCCTTTGCCAGTATTTCAGCTCAAGTTAAAAATGTAAAATGTTAACGGACGACGGACGACGATGGACGAAGACGGATAGAAATAGGTCACTTGAACTAAAGCTCAGGTGACCTAAAAATGACAATGGTAATTTGAAATAGGTTGTCATGTAACCATCGTTTCAGTGTATATCATTAAGCTGCATCATGCATCTGGAATACATCTGAAACACTATGTCATAAGCGCCACATGTAACATAAACTTGGCGATATGAAAAGACCATTCACGAAAACAAACATGTTTTCGGTCTATTTAGAAAACTGTGTATAAAATGTGCATATAGCGGATGTATACATGCATTGTACATTTAAAAATATTCAAAAGGTACCCGAAAATTTTACACATATATAAATCTGTTTCAATCTGGAAACTATTTTGTATGTACAATTCCGTCTTCTATAGGTAAACAAAACGAATAATATATACTGACTAAAAATGTTGTCAAAAGTATCGGAAGTAATAAAATATCAAGGTCCAAGATACAGGGCCGGTATTCATGAAACCGTTCTCAAGCTCAACCGTTCTCAAGCTCAACCGTTCTCAAGCTCAAAATCAGATTCTGTGTCCAAGCATCATTTCTTTTTACCGTGAAAATTATTAAAAAATCAAATTTATTAATGTTGTAGAAACATTTTGAAGAACTGTATGTTGATTTTTTTTATCTACTCTTTACTTTTCAAGGTGTAACATGATTTACGCAAGTTACAAAAATATTGGCTAATTTATGCTTGAACATGAGAACGGTTTCGTGAATATGAATCAGTTTATAATGAAATACAACAAGGATACCTTATATAGGATTTGTTAGGGAAAAAGCTGGCATTAACAAGTCTTTCGTTGACGAATTGAGAGCCAAAAGCAGCGTAGGATAATGACCAATCGTATGTGTAAGTGGTGCAAACCTGGGGACACGTCTGACATCCATTTCTTGCGGTCACCAGCTCAGTGAGGTTGTCGACATGTAAATCTAAACCATCATCACATTAATTATGTACGTGCTTAATCCGCTTCAAATTCGTTAATTATGAAAACGAGACATTTAACTCTGTCTAATCATAATGTTCGAAAAGATATTTAGTTTGGTTTATAAAATACTAATAATCAAGGTATGTAAGTGTGTTCTGGTGGAATATATATCGAAGATGAGAAAATCGAGGAAAATAATTAACGAAGCCGCTTGGGGCATGAGTTGATAACTTTTCCAACATTTTCGAATCCGGAGTATATATATTCCATCATAATTCACAAACATATGAAGAATGTAACTGAAGTCTTTTTCGTGGCCACCTCAATGTCCATACGCCTTTGACCATGGTGACCTAGATGATGTTATTATTTAATCTAGACTGTTCTTTTGCGCGAGCTAACGTTTGTCACGTGATGCCTTTATGTATTAATTTCAATCAATCGAATCAACTAATCTATCGACATTGCTCGTCAACACATGAAATAAGCATTTAATAGATTTACAAAACCTCTTCCAAATCAACGCGGTAAGTAAAACGGAACGGAACATTCTGACCACGTGTTTAGCAAGTTTTAAGTTAACCTGGAGGTAAAATCGCTTTTTTGATTGTTCACTAGCAAATCTTCAAATTCAAACAAAATAAAATGCGGGTACCCTCATTTGACAAATGAAAATAGACCCGTGACTCGCTTGTTTACCGGTACATTTGTGGGGGAGGTTTCTGGAAGTGTGTTGGTCTGAAAAAAAATTCACACACACACTCGCGCATGGTCTGTAGTCCAAAAATCCTTGGTTGTTAACCAATGAAAAGAGTCGTTACATCGCAGATCTGGTGTAAATTTGGCTATTAAATATTCTAGTTCACAGTGGATTTTATGGTTTAAGATAGCGTAATGCCCTAAGTTATAAGTTATAAGTCATAAATGCCATCTTGATTGCACATTACTCGATTGTTTGGGCATATGCTCTCTGTGCAAAGATTACAGAAAAAATATATTGACATTATATATGTTTATGTCTTTACGTTGCTGATAAACTTGCCTGTGATTGCCACGTAACAGTCGACCAGCTCGTCATGGTTACACAGTCTCTCGGAACCTGTGGAGGATGGATATTAAATACTACGACGAGATAAATCATTATAAGTCAAGTGAATTTCTAGAACTCAAATTCATAGAAAGAGGATAGTACAAGGAATGCCTCTTGCACAAAAATGTGTATCAGAACAACACTGCCATTTAGTCACAGGAAAGATTCAGTCTATAAAATCAAATGTCTGCTCACAGGCACTTACCGTTCTAAAAGTCTGACAAATAAATATAATTGCATGTGTCCATGAAATGTAAACAAGCACGAAAGGCAAAAGAAAGCAAACCGACAAATCGATAAAGATGTCGAAATGTTTGTTCTTCGGGACTAAAATCGGTAAGTTTTTGTGGTCTCTTCAAAGTTTGTAACGATTAACGCGTTTCCCTGTCATTAACACCCGAGATATAAAATATACCCAAGAGCAAACGCTATGCACAAGATGGCATGAAATCTTAATATCGTGACGTATACACAATTATTGCTCTTCTACCACTGAACATACGGGTTCTTACCACTGATGTAGTAATGTCGGCACGAACAACGAGACAGGACTGCGTTCAGGAAACACTCTGTCCAGCATGCCACACTGGAATACGTGTGGAACCTCGTGAGACGGTTGGCGTCACTCACTTGATCCACACAATTACCGTGAGGAGGGGGAAGTAATATTTTCTGGTGATAGGAAATGATAATCCAATAAACATAAAAAGTGTGATATGAGATTTTTTCACTTAATCTTACTTTATTTGTATACCAAAGTAGGCATCTCATCGTTGATGTGATATTGTACAAAGTTATATCAGCACTCGGGCCTCCGGCCCCTCGAGCTTGTATGGGAGTCTCGAGCTGATTTACGGAGTAGGAAACGGAAATGGTAATATGATAACCTCTAAGTATATTTCTGTTCAAATACAATTGGTAGCTACTGATTGATCAAATATGGATTAATTCTATGACTAATATTTTATTGCGTAAAACTGTTAAAGTAAATTTATTGTCTGTCTCGAATAAAAATATCAAGTTACTTGTATTGTTTTTAAAGATTCTAAAGGTAGAGAATGTTTGTTCACACTGACTGTGTTATATAAGGGAATCATTATGGAGAAGGCAGCCTTAAAACGGTCGAGTTAGAACCGGAAGGGCCAATGAGGAGCCAACATTGGGTTTGGAAAAGTTAGCGAAAGCTCCTAGATCAGAATGTAATACCGTCTATTGGACCGTCAGTAAAGATTTCAACTTAGCCAATAATATAAAATAATACTATTTAAAGTAGTTCAAGTGTTTGAGCCTTACAATTTCCGTATTCTGCATATTCTATTTGTGAATTAATCTTTCATTTATTCTAATTTGTCAACTACTTTGAGGATTAATCTTTCTCCTATTCTTCTCTGTGAATTAATCTTTCTCCTATTCTATTTTGTGAATTAGTCTTTCTCCTTTTCTAATTTGTTAATTAATCTTTCCCTTTCCAATTTTGTGAATTAATCTTTCTCCTATTCTAATTCTGTGAATTAATCTTTCTTCTATTCTACTCTTTCAATTAATCATTTTCTTATGCTACATTGTAGGTTAATCTTTCTCCTATTCTATTTTGTGACTTTTCTATTTTGTGAATTAATCTTTTTCCTTTTCTATTTTGTGAGTTTATCTTTTTCCTTTTCTATTTTGTGACTTAATCTTTCTCCTTTTCTACTTTGTAGATTAATCTTTCTCCTATTCAATTTTGTGACTTAATCTTTCTCCTTTTCGATTTTGTGAATTAATCTTTTTCCTTTTCTATTTTGTGACTTAATCTTTCTCCTTTTCTACTTTGTGGATTAATCTTTTTCCTATTCTATTTTGTGACAATCTTACTCCTATTCTATTTTGTGAATTAATCTTACTCCTATTCTATTTTGTGACTTTTCTATTTTGTGAATTAATCTTTTTCCTTTTCTACTTTGTGGATTAATCTTTTTCCTTTTCTACTTTGTGAATTAATCTTTTTCCTTTTCTATTTTGTGACTTACTCTTTCTCCTTTTCTACTTTGTGGAGTAATCTTTTTCCTTTTCTCCTTTGTGAATTAATCTTTCTCCTATTCTATTTTGTGACTTTTCTATTTTGCGAATTATTTTTTCTCCCATTCTTTTTTGTGAATTATTCTTTTCCTTTTCTATTTTTATGACTTAATCTTTCTCCTTTTTCTACTTTGTAGATTAATCTTTCTCCTATTCTACTTTTTGAATTGATCTTTCTCCTGTTATACTTCTTTTTGAATTAATCTTTGTCCTATTCTACATTGATCTTTCCTTTATTCTAATTAGTCGATGAATCTTTCTTCTATTTTACCTGGTGAATGAATTTTCTCCTATTCTACTTTGTGAATTGACCTTTCTCCTATTCTAATTTGTGAATTAATCTTTCTTATTTTCTTCTTTGATAAACAAGCCTTCTTTTTTCTATTATACTTTGTTGTTTAATAGAATATTCCCCTACCTTGAGAATGAGGGAGACATTCGGTGAGGGGGAGCGGAATAATCTTTCTCCTATTCTACAATTTGAATTATTTTCTGCAGATTATTCGAGCCTTAATATTTTCGTAATAGTTGCTTCTTATGCATGTACATTTAACTTTGTATGGATCGAGACCATCGAATCATGAACGGACTATAACCTTGTCTCTTATATATCGATTTACCTTGTTCCTGAAAAGTACGGCTTCTGCTGACAAACCAGGACCCACCAGGAAACTGCGCATTAGCGGGAGCGGTGTCTCCGTCGGCTCATGCAAAATTACCTGTTTAAGTTAAAGCAGACAGAAATATTTAGTGTTAGGAATGTACATCACGATTCGTCGCTTTTAAAGTAAGGGAGACTAGTTCTTATATCGCCTTCAAACATTTAGATAAGTCAAGGCACAAATGTTCCGTTGTACGAGCATTAATCTTTGACTAAACGGTTGAGTTCCCGCTTGTCGCGCCGTTTCTTCGTGCGCTTGCGATGAAATCGTTTTATTGTAAGGTAGGTCGGATCACAGTTCACCAAAATAATGGACAGTCATTATAATTTTAAGAATTTATTTTTCAGTCATTATTATAAAGAGCGTATTAAACTTCCATTCACGCTCTGAAAGAAGTAATTTTTGTAACAAACATGAAACCCATGGTACAGGTAAGGTAATGTGATATTTGCTTTTTACCGTTATACCTTTCTGAAAGCTGTATTCTTACTAATTTCGTAGTATTTTAGCAGTTAGCAGATAAAGGGAAAATTTAAATGAAGAATAGGGAATCAAAGGTAAAAAATATGCCATATTCATAAAGTTTGTTCGTGTGAGTGTAAGCAGTATGATTCTGTAGTACGATTGAGACCAGTGCTGAATGACAGACAAACATTGTTAATTTCCGATTAAGGTTAATAGTGAGTAACTACGGACATTTCTTTCAACACATGCATAAAACGTGACAGGATGCCCCATACGATCAATCTGACCAAAATAATATCAACGGCTATCCATTTTGTGCATGTGAACTATCGCATGAAACGATTTTATTCCATTATTTTTTCTAAACCGCAATAAGGATGAACTCGACTTCCGTGCGCAGATTAGTGTAGAAACAACGGGTAATCCGTCCCATTACTTGTTACAGTCTTACTTGTTGTTTACCCTGGAGACCAGAAATAGCTCTAACATACCAACCTGAAACCCCCACCCCGCCCTCACGCAAACTGTGTGTGTATTAACTTCCTTGTGATATATACATTCCTACCCTTCCATTCCGAAGTAATTTTTCTGGTGGAAAAAAATTCACCCATCATAGATCATAGCATTGTTTTCCTATTACATAACGAGGCATTTGTTTGTGGCTTTTCCTTGATTTTTCAAGTGTCTTTTAAAAGTTTTTGGAAAACAACTTGCATAAGCTTGAAGCCTTTATGTTACAGATCAGCAAACAATATATACTTTTCATGTGGCCTTCGCTTTGTCTTACTGACCTTAATACCTGATTGCAGTGTTTCTGGGAAGAAGTAAAGGTGCTGTTCAATGTCAATGACCACCCGTAGACCCCCTACAGAACCATACATCCGGGACTTCTGTTGGGGCAATACACCATTAAATGTGAAGCACATTCCCATGGGAGTTATGCTGGCGTCGAAAATATGGCTGCAATTCACTTGACGTCCCTCCCAGAAACATGACCGGAATATTTCCAAATTATGTGAATGGGCGCGCATACATTTGTCGATGTCGTCACCGGAAATAGACGTGCCATTGTTCGGACGGTGGATCGGTAGTTGGGCGTAGTGACTTAACTCGCTTTCGTGAAACATCAGGAATTCCAAGTCTGCACAATCAACAACACTGCTTTTCACTTGGTTTATATTGCATATGGTGACAGCAGGAAACTCGACATGTTTTCTCTTAGAAACATGAGTGCTCGTACGCGTCTCATACCGGAAGTACATACTCAGTTCGAGATAAGTAAATATTGATAGACTTGTAATCATCCCCATAAGCAGAATAATCCACACGCATCTGAAAATTGATAAAGTTATAGACAGCTTTGATTTAAAACAATAAAAGTAAAAGACCATAGTGTTACCATATTTCATTTTGTAATTTTGAAGATCTGCAACTGAGATTAATTTAGATATGTATAATTAGTATGGTAAAATGGAGACATGCCAACCATATTAATACCTTCGAATAAGACTTTCGTTGGCGGCTGCTTTGTGTAACCCATGGATTGTTGCAGACGAAAGGAAGTCTTGGACAACCACACCTGTAGAGGGCTTCCTTGATGTCTTCTCGTCGCTATTAGAGTTACTATTATCGGTTTCTTCCATGTTGGATATTAGACCTGTGGTCACTATGTAATGTACTGTAGTAATACGTCTTCACTAATGGACGAACACAGAATATTACAGAGATATGAACCAAACACGCTTCGCACATCGCTTCAACGATATTGATTGCAATTACAAACCTCACTTTCCTTTTTTTAAATAATTGATGAACGTCAGCGTAATCGTATGAGGTTACTACTCATATATACATCTGTATGTCGGTCAATCTTACAGGTGTCACTCGATTATCGCAATCATCAGTTCAAACCACTCAACTAATTGATTTAAGATTAATAAACTACTCGCATCATACATTAACCCATTCTCTAAAGACCCATTCACAATGATTTCGATCTTTGTCTAACCGTGTGTTTTCAAAACAGACCTGTTTATCAGCAAATACAACTTATTCAACATGCTTTAATCAATATGATGTGTTCATATTTCATATGTATTTCATCATAGGTACAAAGAATTACTTGGGGATCAAATTGCGAGTTAATTTCCTAAACAAGAGGCCCAAACGATCTGTATCGATTACCTGTCCATGTGCAAATCCTTTAAGAGTGCATGATAAAAGTGGATGTCTACGTTACGGTATTGGTTTATCGGATCAATAGCATTGATGTAATGTGGCTTATAATTTGCCGAAACTGATCCAGCTCATTTTTTTTCAAACCGAAAGCGGCGCAAAACGCCGCGGGGGTTTGATCTGTAAACACTTTGTCACTTCCAGTGCTTCCTCATGCGTGAAAGCCTTCTGGAAAATTAAGGCCGCATACTGTCTTCAAAAATATTATAGTAAACCCTACGATATCTGTAATTATTGCAGTTTTCTAGTGAAATATCATGAATTCTCCTTTTGATAAAAACATATCATAATGCAGTGAAGATATACGAAATATTTTATCTTCACATGTGAAGACGTCACTCTTAGAATGGTCCAGTCTGAACGGTACATTAGTTTCTCTGCGTAGATTTCCAGTTTCAAGTTTGGATAAAGTGACGGCAGAATAAGTGGTTGTGTTGTCACCTTTGCAGCATACAATATTGTTTTTACAAAACTACACAATTGATATCATTTTTGTCTGGAAATCTTACCAGATAATAGGTACATTGTCATTAAAAATATTTGTAACAAATATTGAGTGACAATATTGAGTGACAATAGTGCTTAAAGCAAAATTAATGACATTGACAATTTATAAAATTATTATAATTTGATAAATTCAAGTCTGCAGGATCCATTCCCTCGAGGTTCTTGAACTGTCAGTTAGTCATTTTCATTTGGAGTCCAGCAGCATTGCTGCATTTTCTTGTTACAGTTGCAAAATCTATTTATTTCCTATATAACATATTTGAGACTGAAAGTGTTTGGGTCTTCTGCCTTTACAGAAAGTAGTTCTCACACGAGGCATCTTGTTGCTTTTAATCTAACAAGCCGAATTATGACTCTAGACCTCACATTTCTTTCGAAGAAGTTTTTGACGTCTTTCACCTCTCTGACCTCGACAGTAGCTCAAGTAATTGTTATGTTCTCAAAGTTTGTTCGGCTCTATCCAAGGAATCGACCAACCAAATGTAATGACTCCATCGGGATAAGGAGTCGGGGGTTGGGGGAGAAACTTTATCATAGAAAGCAGAATAGAAAGCAATACGCTATTCTAATACCTAACTAAAAAGGTAAAACTATATTTTTTACTCTTTTTTTTTCTTCTAAAACTAAATGCTATCATTTCCCATAACATCTTTTGGATGCTTATCTGAATAAGTGTACCACCCCCTTTTGCTCAGTAGTTACAGCGTCCTTTATAAACAACATTTGGTTGGCAGCTGCATGCGCTGGGTTGCACAATATAACCATTATCCATACTTCTTATTGCATTTGTTGGAACCATTTAGTCTAGATTACAATGGCACCTTCATCAGACAAATGACCAATGCACACAAAGTTGAAAAATGTGTACGAGTTGTCCATATAATCAATGTCGATTTCGGCTACGCTGGAAACGTATGTACAATAGTTGTTATATATGTACCGATATGACTCAATTTAGCTACGCTTTGTTAACATTTGGTCATAGATTGCGAGAGTCTTTGAGCCACCTCGTCTCGATTTAGATGGCTTCCTTTATCTGCTGCTTGAACAGATTGCTCTCTCTGTCCAAAACTTTGGAGTTATTCCAGTCAATCACATGTTTTTAGCTCACCTGGCCCGAAGGGCCATGTGAGCTTATGCCGTACTGCGTCGTACGTCGTCCGTCGTCCGTCCATCAACTTTTTCTTTTCAACGACTTCTTCTGAAGAACTGGAGGACCTAAATATACAACATTTGATATAGCGCCCTATCTAGCTAACATAAGCCACTCTAAAGCGCTTTACAGTACACATATACATCAATTAATTCGTGTATACAAAGCGTAGCTAAATTGAGTCATATCGGTACATATATAACAACTATTGTAAATACGTTTCCAGCGTAGCCGAAGTCGACATCGATTGTACGGACAACTCGTACAGATTTTACAACTTTTGTGTGCATACGCTTCATTGGTCATTTGTTTGATGAAGGTGACAGTGTACATATTGTACTAGTCATCGAAATGTCACATAGATAATGTTATTGGTTGTGTAAAAAGAACTTATCAAAGCCCCCGTAATAATAAATCTTTAGAGTAGTAAACACCTTTATCTGGTGACTGCACTCTATAAAGTATCTAGTACTAGGCAAAGACTGATTGTGTCCAATCTATTTAAACTGATAACTGTAAGTAACTGATTATTTACCATGGATACTCCACAGAGAATCGTTATAAATCACGGTAGGATTTCACCTTCAATACTGAAGATCAACATCATCTTTTAAAAAGACATTTATTTCATACCGAAACCAGCACTTCGTGTCGAAGCGCATTTGCAGTGGATTCCGATTAATGCGTGAACCCTGTAAACTTTGAACCCCCATACAGTTTTATTCCATTCGATTCCATGACCTTTTTGACAATTTATTTAGCGTTAACCCAGTATATATGTACTTTTCTAACCGTATCATTGGATCTTGTGCGAAGAAAAAGCGTTCAACGAACAACTTCTTAAAACTAAGTATACATGAAAAAGTTGTCATCAAGATGGAATATTTCATCGAATTGAATAATAATACTTACATTGGAATTGTATTCTTTGTATTTGTGAGTTTCGTTTCATCTATGCCTTGTCCAACGGGTTGTATGTGCCCAAGCACCTTGGCGGTTGGTTGCAGTACAGGATTCACGGCGTTTCCGTCACCACTGACCAATACTATCAAATGACTCTCAATTAATGGAAACTACATGACACACAACAGTACCCCTACCTTACATCGGAGTGACTTTCAATCCATGCCTGTACTAGTTTCGTTACAAATGGCTCATTGCGAAATTAACACAATCGCAGATGACACATTCTTATCACGTGGTTCGTTGAACTATCTAGATCTGTCATATAACAACATTCCCCGTATAACTGACAAGACCTTTTTGGGGCTAACAAATCTGGTTTCCCTACAGATCAGCGGGAATCCGCATTGTGAGCTGAGCGAGAAGACTTTTGATAGTCTTTCGAATCTGCAAGAACTCTATATTGCCGAAATGGACTTGGAACGCCTTCTTCCTGTTATGTTCACAAATTTGAAACATCTCAGACTTTTGGATGTCCATGGAAACAAAATATGGAAAATTGAATTTGATTTTGGGGCTGTATTCCCGAACTTACAACACTTGGATTTATCGAGAAACCTTCTAAAGGGACTGCCCAAACGGTACAACGACACGTTTTCACATCTAACGACCGTCAAAATGTCGGGAAATCCTCTCCAATGTAATTGCGAAATACGATGGTTAAAGCATTCAACGAAAAAGGCTCTGGACCCTGAATATGCCAGTGACGCATTAGTTTGCTACGGCCCAGAACGTCTGAAATATGCTCCGATTTTGCGCGTTCCTGATTTAGAGTTTAAGTGTGTTGCACCCCAAATAGTCAATTGTACAACTGAAACGTACGTTGTGATGGAAACGTCATCCCTTCGGATGTGGTGTGAATTGGGGGGATATCCATATCCGGATGTGACCTGGACAAGATATGATGGAAAGAATGTAGAATTCACTTACGAAAACACTTCAAACTACTATGTTTCTAGAACAGGATCCTTGGACATTTTCAACGTCTCAAAGGCCGATGACGGTACGTGGACACTCGGTGCCAGCAATTCAATCGGTCAGAAAAGTCATCAACTGAAAATAGTTGTTACCCCCAAAACAACCACCACCACAACAACGTCAACAATAACAACAACAACAACAACCACAACCACAACCACAACCACGCCGACGACGACAACAACAACATCGACAACAACGCCTACACCAACCACATCGACAACAACGCCGACGACGACAACGACAACATCAACAACAACGCCGACAACATCAACGCCGACAACAACCACATCAACAACGCCGCCACAGACTACACCAACTACAAGTACTTTGAAATCTACAACCGCAAATACGATAGTAAGCAGCAGCGAGCATCAGTCAGCTAATGGGGGTACGGTAATCCATAAAGCCCCCGATCATGTAAACCCTAACCCGGCAAACATCACACCAGCTGACAATGACAAGACAGACGACGATAGCGATGAGGACAAACCAACTAATAGGACGAAAATGGAAGACGAAGACGGTGGTGGAATGAACATGATGATGATAGCAGGAGCTGGCGGAGGAGGTCTACTTGTAATCGTCCTCATCGCCGTCATCGTCTACTGCGTGAAGAGTAAGACTAACAGGTCGACAACAGGAATAATGACAACGCTTGGAGGCAGGAAATCTAGAACAAGTGCATGGGATAGAACAATCCATGGGATAGAACAAGTGCATGGGATAGAAAAATCGATGGGATAGAACAAGTGCATGGGATAGTACAAGTGCACGGGATAGAACAAGTGCATGGGATAGAACAAGTGCATGGGATAGAACAATCCATGGCAACACAAATAGGGCTGGTGTTACGACGGTTGACAAAGGTAAGAAAAACAACGCTGCCAACAATACAGATAAGAACGGGACAGTGACAGAAGATTCAATAGGAGACATATTAGCTATTGTATCAGTTGTTGTTGTAGGAAGCTTGTTACTGATCACTGCCGTGATCTCTGTTATCGTCTGCTGTGTTAAATGGAAGAACATCCGCATCAATGTTCATTCGGATCAAGCCAATCACTTTTCAGCGCGATTCTAAATGAACCTTTCATTAACTATTCATGCAGAAATTCCAACGGTGGTTGTGGTAATATATTAGTTCATTTTAAATGTTACTTTAGTATATGTATAAACGGCATATTAAATTAAGATATAAGTGACAGTAGTCCTTTTATACAGAATTTGTGGAGAATTATAAACAATATTCGCAGACATTCATTTTTATAACGAGAATACGAACAGCAGCGAAAAACTGATAAACAGCTGAACAATCGAAAATATTATAATAATACCAGGTATTTCAAAGTGTCGATTCGCTTGGAATAACAAGATGAATAATTAAATCAAGACAAACATTATGAACCTCGACAAGAGATTGGAGTAGAAACAAAGTGCTAAGGAAGGCTTGTAGTCCCCTGTATCACTTGTAGCTCTCGTCAAATTGTTTCACATCTAACCAGGAAAGTGTAAAGTCATCAATAATGTATCATTTACATGTCTTAACTAATTCCTTTACCGTAATAGAAACTGATATCTAAATATTGTAAATACCTGATACTTTTGTATGCAATTCATGCCAGTTAAATGCAAAAGTTATATATGTCAGATGACTCTATTAATATTGTACTTTATAACGGTATAACCAACACATAGTGTCCGCGGCTGCTGCACCCTATGTGCGCACGACTAAGGGTGGTCCATCATTCACGCAGAGTCGCTGACTGTGTGGTACTGCAGTGTGACCACTGCAGAATATTGTATGAACCCCGACTTCTGCTGTTAGAAGATTTTGTCCTTTTTTTTCAAATTGTGTATTTTTTATCTATAGTGTACATATATTTACGTACATGTATCAATAAGTAAACAACTATGTATCATACATAAATCAGTCCGTTTTACTCATTGCATTGGTCATCCAGTTTATGACGCATAATACTTTGTGTATTTTTTCCGTCTACTGCAAGCTCGTGCACGGGTATACTGGTTGTTAAAATACCATATAGTAGACCGGAGTGCAAGCATTCCAATCAAATGTGTATCAATGTTGTATTACAATATTTAAAGATTAGTATGGTTACTACACCCTATCAATATTCTAATACATATGTGCAGCTACAAGACTGCACACATAAATGTGCTATAAAGATTACAAATGTTGTGGCTTTTACGCTATCCATACTGTGTAATACATATACCAGTATATACATGTAGCTATAAGGTTACAGTTAATAAAATGTATGCCATAATAATTTATATATACCTTACAAATTATCTTACTTGTAATAGTATACTCATCACCAGAGACATATAGTATTTAATATAAAAGTTGCCACATCTAGTGTGCACACATACGTGCAGAAGGTAAAAATGTTATGGTACACATACAATAATTTGGGTAATAGGTATTGTTACAATATATATTTATACAGAAGGAGTCGTTATCATATGCATTGCATTAACATGTCAAGTGCCACAATTATATTCTCCCAAATCTCCATGTGTGTTACCCACCTGGCTCACCTGTGCTGGTGAAATCGAACGAAGTCAATATAAAATACCCAACATGCATCTATTCGTAGTAAGTAGAGAGTGTGCATGTAGACTCCATGGCTGTTAAGTTTAAAGTGTACAGTCAACTGCTTGCAGATTTGTATATATTCTACAACAAAGCAAACTGTGTGTTACGTAGTTATTTTTATCATTACTATTTAATTTACATGTATGATGCCAGCACTATCTGTATATACCGATTTATAACTGTATGAATGTCCAATAGTTTGTATATTTAAAAACGGTATGACTACCAATCTTTATTCCTCATCAATGTGAATTGCATCTAAATATGGTTGCTGGTTTTGACTCAATGTCACCCACCTCCCTCGTTGGCATTCTAATTACAACTCATTGAGAAGTTCAATTTATTAATATCCAGTGATAACGTAACTTATTCATGTTTATTCTACGTACGTACCTCGGCTTGATATATCCATCATATCCACTCCAACGAAATTAAAATGTAAAATTGATTCTATCCAAATCGTACAGTGTGTGACCCCGTGTTTAACTTTATCGAGTGGATACACGTGAAAAGTCTCGTGTTATTGCTAGCATTTATTGTACCTGACTAGCGCTTCTGAACCATAAATACTTAACTTTTCTTATACAGAACCATTATGGTCAGGTCTGTTTATATATCGGCGCGTCGATTTACCCAATACAACCCTATACTACCCAATACAAGTGTCGATTTACCCAATAAAACCCAATACTATCCACTAAAAGTATCGATTTACCCAATAAAACCCAATATAAAGTTAAAAGTACACAATACAAGTAACAATGTTGTTCGGACCCGGGTATTTTTGGCAAGATAGTCGTTATTTGGAATTACTTAATTTAATCTATTACATTTCAAAATATTTCATTGTTAATACAAAGATAAATACACTTATTATAGAAGTATTACATGTGTTAACAAAGGGACCAGACAACAGGCTTAGCCTATAAACATGCAAGTTTTTTCCTATAGATACCGGTATCCTATTATTTTAATTTCATTAATATATTGACGTTTTGAGTGGAAGATATGACAATAACGGGAAAAAAATAATAACTATAATGAAAGAACACATATACTCACTCACTCTCATACTACCATTCGTAATTGGTATATTCTATATCGTTAGAACTTGCATGTAAAAAGATATTACTTATAAATTGAGAATCGTTTTTTTTTTTTAAATATGAAATAGTATGATTAAGTATATTTCTATTAGTCTCGTTAGACATACCAACGATACCATGACAACATGAAGATTTACAAATCCTAATAGATTATACACAGAGAAGATGTGATGCCTAAAATACCTATAAAGAGAAAGAACAGAAAAATGTGTTGTATTTTCTATATTTGCACCACATGAACAGGAACTCAAGCTATGTTGCATTCACGAATGGAACAGTAAACGAATATATATTAGTAAAGTGCTTTTCTTAACCTAGCCATATTTGTTAATGTCTTAACAACAATTCATTGTATCTATTAACAAGTAAACGATGTCTGGAAAGATTGCTGGAATATTTCATTAGTGGTAAATAGTAGGACAATAACGGGAAAAAATATACTCACTCACTCTCTTACATGTATACCGTATTACCATGTGTTGTATTGTTAGAACTTGCATATATATAAAGACATTACGTAAATGTGTTTTTTTTTTAAATAGGATCATATACTATATTTCTGTTTGTTTCTGGAATAATGTATTGGGATATAGGAGATCGCGAGCAGCAACTCATTAAGCATCATACAATGTAGTAATACCGGTATGTTGAAAACTTATGAATACATGTATGTGTGTTAATATTTGTATACAAGTTACGTTGTTCTTGTGGGTTTTTTTAATTAGATAACATTTTGATGATTTTTTTACCTTTAATTATTTCCGGGTAATTGAGTGTTCCATGTATATAAAGTGTATGCTTATGTTTGTCTCAATATTGAATGGCTATTAATTCTATTAAGAACTACAACAAATATATAAACGAGGGTTATTTATCATCAAGAATATTATTTGAAGCTCAACATTGGCAGTTATCTAACTGTGTAATTTAATTTTTTTCCTGGCATGAAACAATTCGAACGAGTTTATATAATTATCAGTGGTTTCTTTTGTAAAGCCGATGGAAAGCATAAAGTTACACATCTGTATACACCTGTTTCATTTAGACAACAGTGTTGTGACCATGTATGATGGGAACGACTAGCTAAGCGGCGCGTGCACGTGCACGTGATTGACATGTATTTAAGTATGGCTTTCGCCACGTGTCATCTGACCCAGTTTTTACACATGACCATTGATTGACTACAAATAAAATAACTTCTGTATGTCTTTGATTTCTCTCCGATTTGTAGTAAACCATTCCCGCGATCATTTACTTTATAGATAATGAAAATCATTGTTCTATGTTTTATCCGATATGATAACGATACATTATTGTATACTATTCCCACGATAATTAATTTCGTAAATTAATGAAATTCATTTTTCTATATATTATCCAATAACACAAAGATTAATGACTGTATATCAGTCCCGTGAAATTACTTCATAAATGATGAAATATATCTTGCAATATTTTTTCCATTAAAACAACGATAAATGGGGTGATTCAAACGCCTTCGCCCCAAGTTACAGACACATAGGGTTCCAACACCAAACATGTTTATGGCCATTATTGTACTTGACACGGGGAACATTTTAAACATCCTTGGCCTTGCATCAGAGACTGAATACATTATTATAGGTACTGAATTGGAACTCCAAATCATTATTTGCCGTATTATTACACTTATTTTACATGTTAGATCTACATCTTGCGGAACCCATAGTCTGGGCGTGTGTATATCAATCCATGTTTCTCTTCATGTTCGATAATGAGTGATTTTAAACAGATGTATACATGTAAAGTAAGTACTAATATTAATACCCGGCCTAAAACAATTCTCTCGTCGTCAGAAAGCTACGTTATCTTAGCTAATGTACAGTGTCCAGCCTTTGGTGTCAGCATCAGATGTACCTATGTATATTTTACAATATAGGTGATCTCTTCCTGCCTCTAAACTCAGCAAATGTAAATATCAGCTTTCAATATACGGTTAAACAGTTATGTGTAGATGTGCATCCTAATCCAGGACCTAATACAAGTAGTGACCAATATATTTCTGACAACATTACACTCTGTCATATAGCTACTTGTTCACCAAGGAACATGGAGAATGTGATATTGTCTGTGTTAGCGAGACTCATCTGAACACTTCAATTACAGATGATGATATTCTGACTGAAATTTGTTCTACTGTTATTCGAAATGATAGACAACACAGACGAGGAGGAGGTGTTCTTATATATGTAAAAGAAACAATATTATTGCAAAACGCAGAACAGATATTGAATCTGATGATGTTGAGGTTGTCTGGATAGAAATTAAACTACAAAACAAACTTATACTTGTTGGGTGTTTATACAGGGCTCCAGATTCTATAGCAGATTACTGGAGCAAGTTAGATGAAGTCCTTGAAAAAGTCTGTGATCTGAATAAAAGTGTATTTCTTCTCTATGGCAAGCCAACTTAACATTTATTCAAGGAGCAATGTCGATCCTGTATTTCAAAAAAAAAAGATATCTTATATAGCATATGAGATATCTTATATACTATATAAGATATTTTATATCGTATACAAGATATCTCATATAGTATATGAGATATCTTATATAGTATATGACATATCTTATATAATATATAATATATAAGATATCTTATATACTATATGAGATATAGAAATTAAATGAGATGCTATATAAGATATCTTATATGATATAAAAGATATCTTATATCTTATAATATCGTATATAAGATATCTTATATAATATATAAGATATCTCATATAGCTATATGAGATATCTTACATAATTAAAGTCTCGTTACGAAATAAGATATCTTAAATAGGAACGAGATTTTAACAAAATGTCGAAAATGAAGTCTCCCCGTACGGAATATCTCGAGGATCTACGTAGGGACAGTAGGCTTGTTGTAACAACACGTGTTCCTGTCGCCGCCATTATGTCTGAGCCACTTCAAGAGTGCGGGAAATGGCAGCCTCTGCTTTGGCTGCTATAAGAGAGACAAGGCGAGCTTGGCCTAGGGAAAATACAGCATCCGTACCATCCCTCTCCGCCATTGCGCCCAATGCAATCCTGAATGTGCACCGAATGATTCTCGAGGGAGAAATTAGTTTCTAGTTTTTAATGCCACGAAATCTCATTCTATATCAGATATCTTATATAGCAACGATATTTCAATTATATAAGATATCTCATATAGCTATGCTACAGCTATCAAATTGCTCTCAATTAATGGAAACTACCTGACACACAACAGTATCTCTACCTTACATCGGAGTGACTTTCAATCCATCCCCAGACTAGTTTCGTAACAAATGGCTCATTGTGAAATTCAAACAATTGCAGATGACACATTTTTATCACGTGGTTCGTTGACATATCTAGATCTGTCATATAACAACATTCCCCGTATAACTGACCAGAGATTTTTGGGGCAAACAAATCTGGTTTCCCTACATATCAGCGGGAATCCGCATTGTGATCTGAGTGAGAAGACTTTTGGAAGTCTTTCGAATCTGCAAGAACTCTTTATTGCTGAAATGGACTTGGAACGCCTTATTCCTGTTATGTTCACAAATTTGAAACATCTCAGACTTTTGGATGACCATGGAAACAAAATACGGAAAATTGAATTTGATTTTGGCGCTGTATTCCTAAACTTACAACACTTGGATTTATCGAGAAACATTCTCAAGAGACTGCCCAAATGGTACAACGACACGTTCTCACATCTCACTACCGTCAAAATGTCGGGAAATGCTCTCCAATGTAATTGCAAATTACGATGGTTAAAACATTCAACGAAAAAAGCTCTAGACCCTGAATATGCCAGTGGCGCATTAGTTTGCTACGGCCTAGGGTATCATATTCGATGTGCTAAACACTAGCTGTATCACTTTATTAATATTCACTGGGAAAATATTCTTGCTACTAAGGGGGATGCAATATCGTATCGTTTAATATCAAAGTATGGAAAACATGGTATTGTATTCGATGCGCTAATATGATTCCACTTTCATCAATACTTTGAATGACTTTAACATGACACATTTTAATCTGCATTCTGTGGAAGTGAAAATTAGAGGTGGCCAATTTTTTATAATTCAGTGTTGACGTCATTCCGCTTTCGGTTTACTTCCATTGCAAATATATGCACCATGATTTAGCAGGAATGTCATTTTTTGCTAAGGGTTCCAAATCCGAGATTGTGCCAAAATTGTTCCGTCATTTAAATTGCAGGGACACAATGCATTTAAATAATAAAACATAAAATTAACCGCGACAGTATATATTTTTATTTTTGTATTGTTTTAGGTTGTACTGAAATTAGTAAGGCCCTAAATTAATAATACTTAACAATAAGTATTATCGCAATATATACATTTTTCTGACCTGTACATTGACATTGATCCAACGTTCATGCAGATATATATGTAAATATTCCATAATTTGTTTCGATAGTATATATACAAAGAAAGTATGTGCTTCTGGTGGTGTCATAACCTTATCAATTGCTGAACTGAAATATAGTCTTCCCCGGTGAATCTCTAACAAGGTGAAAGTACCAGGGAAGTATTTAAAACTCTTATGTCGGTTTTTTTTTTATTATATCTAACCATTTCAAAGAATTTTTATAGGTTTTTTTCTCATTTCAATTTCATATATTTGTATATATAAAAAGTATTTATTCAAACTTTTGAATTTTTTGATCAAATTTCCTTCAAAACTCCTGACCCTCGTTCAAATGACGACATCATAGCCAGAATTATTTTATATACATTACTTTTTGTACAACACAAAATCTGCAGGCCAGAGACCAGAATCTGGCATCATAAATAAGGAAGTATCATGAAATAGTGTATCCTTATTAATTTGATTTTAATAGGATCCATTACATGTATCATTTTTTGGTACATTTTATGAACATTTGTTAAGATTCGGGGTACGGATAAAAAGGAGTGTACGTATTTATCATATTCAACATACCTCCCATGTTGCACCAAATGTATGACATGTCACCCTGTACACAATGGCTGACATACAGAAATAGCGACGTTATCATTTTATTCCTGCTGTAGCCTGATTTAATGGGTCGAGGAGGTCTGCATACCTCGGACGCACGCGACTGAGTAATTTGTATGCGCCAATAAATGATCGTAGGCCCTGTGCAGCAGGGGGTTCGGTAGACGATAAGACAGCCACCTTGTGAGGGCTTAAATATATTTTGGAATTTTGCTTCGCGTATATTGCGTGCTGTTTCTTTTTATCATTATCAACACCACAGAAAATATACAGATTCGAGAAATCAGAAGGATTTATAGCGAATAGATATGGAACAAAACAGGTATACTACCATGGAAATTACGTTTTTGATATTAGTGCTTTTTGTATTACCTGGGAATAGTCATACGCCTTTGTCTTGTCCAACGAGTTGTGTGTGCCAAAGCACCTTTGCGGTTCGTTGTAGTGCAGGATTCACGGCGTTTCCGTCACCACTGACCGATTCCATCAAATTGCTCTCAATTAATGGAAACTACATGACACACAACAGTATCCCTACCATACATCGGAGTGACTTTCAATCCATGCCTGGACTAGTTTCGTTACAAATGGCTCATTGCGAAATTAACACAATCGCAGATGACACATTCTTATCACGTGGTTCGTTGAACTATCTAGATCTGTCATATAACAACATTCCCCGAATAACTGACAAGACATTTTTAGGGCTAACAAATCTGGTTTCCCTACAGATCAGCGGGAATCCGCATTGTGAGCTGAGCGAGAAGACTTTTGATAGTATTTCGAATCTGCAAGAACTCTATATTGCCGAAATGGACTTGGAACGCCTTCCTTCTGTTATGTTCACAAATTTGAACCATCTCAGACTTTTGGATGTCCATGGAAACAAAATATGGAAAATTGAATTTGATTTTGGGGCTGTATTCCCGAACTTACAACACTTGGATTTATCGAGAAACCTTCTAAAGGGACTGCCCAAACGGTACAACGACACGTTTTCACATCTCACTACAGTCAAAATGTCTGAAAATCCTCTCCAATGTAATTGCGAATTACGATGGTTAAAGCATTCAACGAAAAAGGCTCTGGACCCTGAATATGCCAGTGACGCATTAGTTTGCTACGGCCCAGAACGTCTGAAATATGCTCCGATTTTGCGCGTTCCTGATTTAGAGTTTAAGTGTGTTGCACCCCAAATAGTCAATTGTACAACTGAAACGTACGTTGTGATGGAAACGTCATCCCTTCGGATGTGGTGTGAATTGGGGGGAGATCCATATCCGGATGTGACCTGGACAAGATATGATGGAAAGAATGTAGAATTCACTTACGAAAACACTTCAAACTACTATGTTTCTAGAACAGGATCCTTGGACATTTTCAACGTCTCAAAGGCCGATGACGGTACGTGGACACTCGGTGTCAGCAATACAGATGGCCAGAACAGTCACCAACTGATAGTTTTCGTTACTCCATACACTTCAACACCGACGGCACAAGGGCAAATGAAGACAGCAGAAACGTTGACGACTAACAGGTCGACAACAGGAATAATGACAACGCTTAGTGGTAAGAAAGGTAAGGAAAACAACGCTGTCAACAATAAGATTGGGACAGTGACGGGAGATTATGAAACACCATAGCTGTCACATATGGCATAAAAATACTATGTGAATTGATTTTTTCATTATATTATATGATTTCATCAATATATTATTCGATTTTATCATTATTTTATTTGTTTTCATCATTATGTGATTTGATTTTATCATTATATTATATGATTTTACCATTTAATTTATGTTATATGATTTCATCAATATATTATTTGATATCAGCAATATATGATTTTAATTTTTCATTATATGATTTGGTTTCCATTGTATTGTAAGTTTTCATCATATATATTGTTTGATTTTATCATCATATGATTTGATGTTATCGTTATTTGATTTGGTTTCACCATTATATTATACGCTGTTGTCATTATATGATTTTGTTGTGTAGTTATATTATTCGATTTCATCAATATATGATTGAACTTAATGGTTATATCATTTAGTTTCAACATCATATTATATGCTTTCGTCATTATATGATTTAGTGTAATCGTTATATTATTCGATATTTTATCAGTATACCATTCCGTAATCATATTATTAACAAACATCATGAATAAACATACCGTTATATGATTGCACAATTTCATTATATAATTGTACAACTTCATTTTACGTTGGATACGATTCTGACAAGCGTCTCCGCGAATCCTAAGTAAACGGAACTTTTCACCGGAGCCCCTTTCTGCCATGTTACTACCGCCATTTCTGAAAGAAAGTGCTACCAAAGCTGTGCATAGTCTTTTGTAAGTATAGCTATATCAATGATGAAGGTAACTGATAGTGGCCGATTGAGACAACTGACCTACATTTTGCGACCGATCTCTTTAAAACCTGGTATGCATTACCAGGTTTCCATTCATCACTATCTTCGGACGTTGCTTTTAAGGATATAACAGACAACACGAGGTAAGAACACTACAATTCCAACACAAACAATAACAGCTACACTAATATCGCTATCACTTCTTCTCTTCTGGGTCACAAACAAGTCGAACATTTTCCACAATCATAGGACACAAATACACAACAACACATTCGGTTTCGACGAAAACAGACTCGCCCAACATGAAAAACACGACACACCACTCACACTATTCCCCGCAATATCCACACGTCTCAAACACAAATACACAAAACCAAGCAACTCTTACATCTTTATCTTCATACTCGCAATATCATCAGACACTGAACTTAACCCAGGGCCCAGAGCACTCAAATACCCATGCGGAACATGCAACAAAGCCGTCACATGGCAAACAAATACATCTCACAACAGCTTCCAGAATTAGAAACAGATAACGAATCCATTTGGGCCAACATCAAAATGTCAAACTCACACAACTTCATAGTAGGTGCATACTACAGACCACCATCAGATAAAGGACATTCATTCACAGAACTCGAAATATCACTGAACAGAATAGGAACACAGAACAACACAATAACATTTATTAGCGGAGACTTCAACCTCCCACACATAGATTGGTCAAACAACACCACAACACCAGGCAAACCAGACAAAACCCTGCACCAACGCCTTCTAGACATCATCGACGACAACTCCCTCACCCAAACCATAGACAAACCCACAAGAGGAGAACACATCCTTTACCTAACATTCACAAATCGTACATCCCTCATCAATAAACAAGAAATAGTCCCACCGATAGGCAAGGCAGATCACGACATCATATATACAGAAGCAGACATTAGTCTACAAAAAACACGCAAACCACCTCGGAACATTAACCTATATAACAAAGCAAACAGGGACAACATCAGAAAAGACCTCACTAATATAAATAACAACTTTCAGGACCTAGAACATCAAAACACAGAAAACCTCTGGGTAAGTTTCAAAACAACACTCTAAACATCTACAGAAAAAAACATTCCAATAAAATCACTAGCATACAAACACAGACTACCCTGGATGAACAACTCACTTCGCCGCCTCTCAAACAAGTCTAAACGCCTCCACCAAAAATCAAGGAAAACCACAAACTTATCCACACATACAAAACAGTAAAAGCTGATTGCAAAAACAAACCCGCAATGCATACCTACAATACATTGAGAAGATAATTACCTACCTACTTCTCGTCTATCAAAACCACAAAAAAAGAAAACACAGACATCATAGCATTACGTAAAAACGGCCACCTCACAGAAACAAAGGCAAACATACTAAATGAACAATTCCAAGAAGCCTTCACACTAGAACAAAACACAACAATACCTGACAAAGGAATATCAGCTCATCCACTCATGCCAGATATACACATAACATGCCAAGTCGACAAACTACTATATAGCATTAACCCACACAATGCAACAGGCCCAGACCATATACACGGCAGAATACTGAAAGAACGCAAAGATATCACAGCACCAATACCAACAAAAATATTCTAAACATCATTCAACACAGGAACATTATCCAGTGACTGGAAACACGCCAACGTAAACCCTATACAAAGAAAGAGACAAATACAACCCAACAAACTACAGATCAATATCACTCACATGCATCGCATGCAAACTCCTAGAACACATCATCACAAGCGCAACCATGAAACACTTAGAAGACAACAAAATACTGCATGACCTACGACATGGCTTTCATACATCAAGATCTTGCGAAACACAACTCATTACATTCATACAAGACCTCACACAGAACCACAACAACAACAAACAAACAGACATGATCATAATGGACTTTGCCAAAGCCTTCGACAAAGTCCCACAAAAACACCTACAGTACAAACTAAATTAGTACGGCATCACCGGAACCATACTAACATGGATAACAGACTTCCTATCGCAACGCACCCCAACAGTAGTACTTGAGGGCAAACACTCCGACAAAATACCAGTAACATCTGGAGTGCCTCAGGGAACCTTTTTGGGACCAGTCCTCTTCCTCATATACATCAACGACTTCCCAGAATACATATCACACAGTACACTAAGACTTTTTGCAGACGACAGTATACTATACAAAACAATTAACAACAAAGACGAAACGACAAAACTACAAACAGATTTAGATGCAGCTAGTAAATGGGAAGAGGACTGGTTCCACCCAGACAAATGCACCATACTCACTATATCACCAAAACGCACAAACATTAAACACCAATACACACTCCATGACCACACACTAGTATATGTAACTTCAAACAAATACCTAGGCATTACACTTCAAAACAACTAAAAAATGGGACAAACACATTAAAAACATCAAATCAAATGCAAATAAATCACTATGCTTTCTGAAACGCACGCAACCTAAAATTAAAATTCACCACACATACAAAACATGCATGCAAGACCATTGTAAGACCAAATCTCAAATACTGCTCTTCAGTTTGGGGCCCACATTATACAAATAACATAAATCAATGAGAACAAGTACAATGAAGAGCAGCAAGATATGTCCTAAAAAAATACCATACCACAAGCTCAGTCACAGATATGATACACAACTTGCAATGGCCAACACTACACACACGCAGAACAAGAACACGCATTATTCTTCTCTACAAAATTATACACCAACAAGTTGCAATACACACCAACAATCTCATCCCGTCAGACACCAGAACACGTCAAGGACACTACCTTAGTTACAGACATAATTATCCACACATCCAAAGACACATACAGACACTCATTCTTTCCATACACCATCATACAGTGGAACCTCCTACCCAAAACAATAATCCTATCAGAAACACCAGCAGAATTCAGGACATGCACATAATCCAACATATACAAAACTTACAACATAACAAACACTCACTCACTGCTTTTAACTTTTTTTTTTCATTTTGCAAATAACAAAAATCAAAAAAAAAATCACTACATAATAATAAACGCACAACAGCACAAGACCGACTTAATCGTCGGTATCGACGGAGGAAGTAGAAAAGATGAAGAAGATGAAGATAATCATAATATCCAGCTATGTGTCCCTGAATGGCATTTTGGATCAACTTTTTTTTGCAAAAGTTATTCCTCTTTGTTTTATTTCAGTATTTGTTTTTTTTGTCCGGAGATCTCCTACAATTTTCGACTGATCTCTTTGAAACTTGATAGGATATATCATTATATATAGTTGTGTTACGCTGAACGGCATTTTCATTCGACTATTTTTGCAAAACTTATTCCCCTTTGTTTATTTCAGTGTTTGATATATGTCCCGAGATCTCCTACAACATTTTTCGACCGATTTCTTTGAAACTTGGTAGGCTTTATAATCGTGATATCAAGTTGTGTTTAATGAGTTGGGGACTAACCTCTGAATACTTGTATTCCTCAAACTGTTAGAAAATTAAACATTGACTTTGTAGTGAAAGGTGAGGGTTATATATAGCATGCCACCTAAATATACCCACTGTACAAATCTTATTTCAATGCAAGATAGTGTATATAACACTATATGACATTCGACGGGCGTTATTGTTCCGCCACGCAGTACTCTTGTTGTCCATCGTCGTCCATCTGTCCGAAAACAATTGACATTTTCTGCTTCTGTCAGTTCTTAAAATTTTGCATTTAAACATTCCATGACCAAAGGTCAACACAAATTGTAAACTATCGTCACTCCCCACCCCGAGGGGCGTGAGAGGCGGGGCCTAAAAGGGTCAAATTGACTGAAATTTCAAAAATCTTCTCAATTAAGACCAAGGTATGGTAGAATTAAATACTGTTCAGGAATAAAGGGTCTTAAGGCTCTTAACAAAAATTGTGATTTTTCTTTGACCCCGAATCTGACATTTCCCCTTGGGGAGAGAGTAAAATTTACAATAGAGTAGGCCAAATACAAAAATATTGTTTGTTGCTACTAACCCGGCCAACTGACCGAGTAAAAAATAAATGTCACAAAATACGGAGAAGCTATTGTTTTTAGGGTCCTTGAATAGTATCACCCAAAAACATGGTCAGTCGGATGTTTTATAGTGACTGTTGTATCTTCTTTGAAGCATCATATTAAATATCAAGACTTGTGATCT